ACAAGGATTCATAAAATCCCATCCCATCCCATCCCATCCCATCCCATCCCATCCCATCCCATCCCATCCCATCCCATCCCATCCCATCCCATCCCATCCCATCCCATCCCATCCCATCCCATCCCATCCCATCCCATCCCATCCCATCCCATCCCATCCCATCCCATCCCATCCCATCCCATCCCATCCCATCCCATCCCATCCCATCCCATCCCATCCCATCCCATCCCATCCCATCCCATCCCATCCCATCCCATCCCATCCCATCCCATCCCATCCCATCCCATCCCATCCCATCCCATCCCATCCCATCCCATCCCATCCCATCCCATCCCATCCCATCCCATCCCATCCCATCCCATCCCATCCCATCCCATCCCATCCCATCCCATCCCATCCCATCCCATCCCATCCCATCCCATCCCATCCCATCCCATCCCATCCCATCCCATCCCATCCCATCCCATCCCATCCCATCCCATCCCATCCCATCCCATCCCATCCCATCCCATCCCATCCCATCCCATCCCATCCCATCCCATCCCATCCCATCCCATCCCATCCCATCCCATCCCATCCCATCCCATCCCATCCCATCCCATCCCATCCCATCCCATCCCATCCCATCCCATCCCATCCCATCCCATCCCATCCCATCCCATCCCATCCCATCCCATCCCATCCCATCCCATCCCATCCCATCCCATCCCATCCCATCCCATCCCATCCCATCCCATCCCATCCCATCCCATCCCATCCCATCCCATCCCATCCCATCCCATCCCATCCCATCCCATCCCATCCCATCCCATCCCATCCCATCCCATCCCATCCCATCCCATCCCATCCCATCCCATCCCATCCCATCCCATCCCATCCCATCCCATCCCATCCCATCCCATCCCATCCCAGAGGCTGGCAAGTGAGGCGGGGAACGTTGGAGTCTGCAGCAAGCAAGCCTCCCTGCTCGCTTCAGTGCCTGGCTGCCGGCCGCCATCTTGGTTGACAGTTATTTTGCATATACTCACTGATTAGCCAATGAAAAGGGTAGCGGTCGTACGCCAATTACCATGTTTCTCTTTTATTAGTGTAGATATATATATATATATATAGAGAGAGAGAGAGAGAGAGAGAGGGAGAGAGAGAGAGAGAGAGAGACTAAAGGCCCAGTGCACAAAATTTGTGCATGAGTGGGGTCCCTAGGCCTGGCCAGTGATCAGGGCCTAGTGGGGCCAGGCCAATCAGGGCCAAGCCAGAGAGGAGGTGACAGTCACCAGGCCGGGCGCGGAAGGAATGGACACCAGATGCTGACACAGCCATCATCGGCACCCTACCACTGAGTGGTTCCCCACTTCCCCCCTCTCCTTCCCTTGCCTCTGTGCCACCACCATGGTAGGCGGGCAGTGGGCCAATTGGGGCCTGCCGGCCAGGGGGAGGGATGGGAGGAGATTGGCCACCAGTCCCGAGGAGGGAGCCGGCTCTCAGCCCCCCTGGAAAAGGGGCCATGCTGACACAGCCATCATCGGCACCCTACCACTGAGTGGTTCCCCACTTCCCCCCTCTCCTTCCCTTGCCTCTGTGCCACCACCATGGTAGGCGGGCAGTGGGCCAATTGGGGCCTGCCGGCCAGGGGGAGGGATGGGAGGAGATTGGCCACCAGTCCCGAGGAGGGAGCCGGCTCTCAGCCCCCCTGGAAAAGGGGCCATGCCCACCACCACCCACTCCCAGTTCCCCGTCCCAGCCCAGGGCCCAAAGGCCCCAGGTGAGGCCAGGAGAGGAGGCGACAGTCACCATGCTGGGCACAGAAAGAACAGATGCCAGATGCTGATGCCAGCATCATTGGCACTTCACCACTGCACAGTTCCCCCCTCCCCCCCTCCTCCTTCCGGGCCTGCCAGCTGGGGGGAGGAACAGGGAATGGGAGGTTGGCTGCCAGCCCTGAGGAGGGAACCAGCTCTTGGTCCCCCTGGGAAAGGGGCCGCATCCACCGCCACCCACCCCCGGTTCGGGGGTGGCCCTGATTGGGCAATCAGGGCCTGCTGGCCCGGGGGGGAAGGAACCACGAGAGGTTGGCCAGCAGGGGAGAGGGACCATGGGAGGTTGGCCAGCCGGGGGAGGTTGGCTGTGGGAGCACACTGACCACCAGGCTGCCGGCCAGGGGGAGGGATGGGAGGAGATTGGCCACCAGCCCCGAGGAGGGAGCCGGCTCTCAGCCCCCCTGGAAAAGGGGCCATGCCCACCACCACCCACTCCCAGTTCCCCGTCCCAGCCCAGGGCCCAAAGGCCCCAGGTGAGGCCAGGAGAGGAGGCGACAGTCACCATGCTGGGCACAGAAGGAACAGATGCCAGATGCTGATGCCACCATCATTGGCACTTCACCACTGCACAGTTCCCCACCTCTCCCCCTCCTCCTTCCGTAGAGAGTTAGAAACATCGATGAGAGAGAAACATCGATCAGCTGCCTTCTGCACACCCCCTAACTGGGGATGTGCCCGCAACCAAGGTACATGCCCTTGACCGGAATCGAACCTGGGACCCTTCAGTCCATAGGCCGACGCTCTATCCACTGAGCCAAACCGGTTAGGGCAACTACAAAGGATTTTAGACATTTGTAAATACACTTTCTTCTTGTTCCTTCCTTTGGGTTAACTCAGTGACTTGCAAACTCCAGTGTGCATAGGAAAATTCTATACAGAGTTGGAACCCCAACAATAACCAATATACAACGGGATTTTGAGTATATGAGATCCTCACTGATATGCAGTTAGATGTTACAACCCATCCCCCCCAACACACACCACAAATGGAAAGCTGACACTAGTGAATTCAGTTGTGTGTGTGTGTGTGTGTGTGTGTGTGTGTGTGTGTGTTTTCCAAACGTTTTTTTACTTTCTTTTCATTTCAAACAGGTAGTCTGGCTTGTTACTTCTTGCTTAAGGCAAGAAAGGAGAAAGCCTGCTTTTGAAAGGATGAGGAAAGAAAAAGACTGTAGAATTCCAGAATTGAAGAAAGATAATACTGCGATTGAATGTGCTCTACAAGTACCAAATAGGAGTAAAGAGAAAATAATAAATCTATACATAGCCAAACTACAGAAAACAAAAGAAAAGGGGGAATAAACTTACAAAAAATTAAATTAGAATTTAATCCCTGCATAAAATATCTAAATTTTCTCCTTTAACCCTTTCGATAATAAGCCACCAACACATATTAAGGTATATTAAACCAGAATGTGTAAATTCTGCAGGCAAAACAAGAATGATTTCATATTTTTCACCCATTCTCTTTTTACCACAAAGGATTTTAGACATTTGTAAATACACTTTCTTCTTGTTCCTTCCTTTAGTTTAACTCAGTGACTTGCAAACTCCAGTGTGCATAGGAAAATTCTATACAGAGTTGGATCCCCAACAGTAACCAATATACAACGGAGATTTTGAGTATATGAGATCCTCGCTGATATGCAGTTAGATGTTACAACCCACCCCACCCCCCCAACACACACACACAAATGGAAAGCTGACACTAGTGAATTCAGTTGTGTGTGTGTGTGCGCGTGTGTGTTTTCCATACGTTTTTTTACTTTCTTTTCTTTTCAAACAGGTAGTCTGGCTTGTTACTTCTTGCTTAAGGCAAGAAAGGAGAAAGCCTGCTTTTGAAAGGATGAGGAAAGAAAAAAGCTGCCTTTCTAAGCTTGGAGGGACCCTGTGGCTCCTGTGAGTAGAGGGGCACTCAGCCCCAGGAGCAGGTCTCCTACTTCACCAAAGATTCCTACCTCACATGAGGCCTGGAAGCAGCAGAGGTGGGCCCTGAATGGGCCACATGCACTGGGACAATTGCTATCTCAGATGACAAAATACTGGAGGAGTCTCCCAAAGCCTCTGCCCCTTATAAGGCCCTGAACTCTGTTAGACCCAGGCTTTTGTAGAATCCTGTTGTGTGGGGCATGGGAGCAGCCCACGCATGGCTGGGTTAAATTTCCTGCCAGCGTGGTGGGCTGGTTACTCAGAATCCAAATTTATTTTGATGTAAGGAAATCTAAAAAAATTCCTGTTTCTTGAATGCATGAATTTATAGACAGAGAATTACATCTACTTTGAATATTTGTTGAGTGCCTTGCTGGCAGGAAGGGTTCCCTGACAACTACTCCGAATCCATCTCTGCCAGTTTGGGATGGATGTGCCCCAAGGGCTGAGCAAAGGAGGGAGGAAAGGTGTGCAGGAGGCGAGGCAGGAGTAAGAAGCTATAAAAGAAAATGACACCAGTTTCTCAGTCTTTCTGAGGCCTTGTCATGGATCATTTAGCTAGGTCACTAATCTATCTCTGCCAATATTTTGGGAGAAAAAAATAAAAATGCAACATATTCAAAAACAAACCAACAAACAACTTCACTGTATCAAATCATTTTATTAGGCTCAAGATGAGTTCCTGCCTCAAAGCTCGCAAATGCCAGAAACTGTGGGCCTGGCAGCCGCCTACTTTCCATCCTAGTCACGCTGCTTAGGGTCTGACTTGAATGGCTAATTACTGGTCACCTCACTTTCTTGCCAAAGCAAAAAGATTATACTTCATGTACAACTTAAGCTGTCCCCTGGACCTCACTTGTTTGGACTGACAATCATGTTTTCTGTTCCCTTCCCCACTTACCTTAACTTTTAGTAATTGCCCTCTGGGCTCAAAAGAGCGACCCACTAGGCCATTGAAATGTTGAAAAGCCCCCTGATATGGAGAAATGTTTATGTGCACTCTGAGAGAAAGAACTGGGACAAATATGTGCGGCTTTGGTACATGACAGGATGCAGGTTTCTTGTGAGCAATTTCTTAACTTTCAGCTGAATAATAACTATAATCAACTTCGCGCATTGAGAGTTGGTTAGAAGTGTTGTTAGGCGGTAATTAGAAACTTTGAAGATGGTAAATAAGTCAAAATGGTGATCTTTTGCGAAATGCGGGCATACTTTATCTTTGTAGGAACGAGGAAGATAAAGCCCTTTCTCTACCTCTTTCCAGTCCTTCCTGCTGCGGATCCCCAGCAGATGAACTTGCTCACTCGTGGATGAACCCTTCAAGGATGCACGTGGAGGGTGATTACCAACAGGTCTCCTTCAAGCAGGTGGGAGACTCACATGGTGTGCATTTGGGGGCTACCTCATAACCGTGATTCCAGCAAGATGCAGATGGAGTCATCAAAGAGGAGCCAGGCACACTGTGTCAGGAAACATATGACTCCCTGAGCTCAAATAGGCCTCATATTAAACCTCAACCTCCAGCAGCCAGCAAGTAAGTGACTTAAGAGACAAATGCATACATATCTAGGCCTTGCCTGTTGCGTGAGGATTACAATGCCTTTTGGACTTACCCTGTTCCTTTCTGCGTTGTGTCCTTATGCATGTCATCTCATCTGCTTGCTTAGCCCATTCTTATTCGTGCTGAATACCTAGTTGTAAATATGATTTTCTTAAAAAAAAAAAACTGCTTAGCCCATTCTTATTCATGCTGAATACCTAGTTGTAAATACGATTTTCTTAAAAAAAAAAAAAAGCTTTCCTGACATGATCTCCATATTGTGTAAGGCATCCATTACATGGTCACCTACTCAAATCACCCTGTCCTACTCCTCCTCTACACGTAAGAGGATCATAATGTAATAATTTTCTGGTAATCTGTCTCCACTGCTGGAATAGAAGCTCCACGGGGGTAAGGAGTGTGCATTTTGTTTGCTGTGGCATCCCAAGCTCCTTGTACACAGCCTTACTCGTCGCAGATGTTTCATAGTTGAATGAATGGATGGTTGATCTGTCTCCTGAGGTTGGTGGGAGGACTGTGAAGTAATGCTGCTAATAGAGTGTGCACATAGAACCAGTCAACTCAATTCATTTTAGCTTTATTCCCCCCTTCTAGTCCATTTTGTTGGTGTTTGACAGATGTATTCATTCTCCTGCTTTCTTCTATAAACTCCATGTTGTTCATGTCCTGATAAAGAATCATAGTTTTAGAGCTGAGGCATAAGAGGATCATCGCTATGGACGCTGATGTTAGAGACTCCATAGCTGAAGTCAGAAGAGTCATTAGTGTCAGGGTCTCATTATCTATTTGGTGGCATGTTCAGCATAGGGTCTCAATCTTCTGCTTCTTGGTCCCTACCTCCAGGCTCCTCATCACACTCAATACATACTATATTTTACTTTCTTTCTTAATCTTCAACCTTTTCTCAAACTCTTGCCCACATAGGGGCATTCAACAAGTTATCTGAGTGGCTAACCTGCAAAGGTCCTGGCCTGGCTGAGACTTTTCACAAGAAAAAAAAAATTCTTATTAAATGAGCATAGGTTTACCATTTGCTACCAGTGAAATAGTCCAAAAGTGTGCTGTAAACCTGAAGAAAAGTGGTATTCATTTGCTGTAGATAGGATACCTGTAATGAAAAAGGAATTACGTTTTTGTTTCAAATCCAAAGAGAAGTTTGTTGCTTTCTTCTTTTGTTATATGATTTATCAGAATCTAGACTGTAACACTTTCAAATTAATTCATGGCATGAGTCAATGCTAAAAGTGATAAAAAAAAATGTGGATTTTCTTTGTTCTGATGCCCTTGACAATCTATGGGGTTATTTGGAAAAAATGGAAATCCACTTAAAAGATTATTTTAACTGATTAGATAACTGAATAGCAGAAAATTATAGAAGGTATTTACCAAATTTAGATCAAAGACTCCTGGAAATGAATGGGTACTCTGAGAGGATCAATGTGTTAGCCCCCAAAGAGAAGCTGGACTTATTTTCCATCATGACCTGGCCTGAACAGAATGGAGCCAGAAATTCTAAATAAGTGCAGAACTATGTGAGGAAATGATATCACTCTCTCAGAAGCAAGTCACTCGTTTTGATACTGTGAGTCATGCTTTAAGTGTCTTTGCTTGCTTTTGAGGCTTACACATGGAAGGTTCCTGAATGATCATCTGTCATAGCAGTGACATGTTCTAGCTACTCCTGCTCAGTCTTTAGGCAATGTTTGTGTTTGCATGGCTCTGACAATGCATTTTATTTCACTGACACTGAGACCCGTCATCAATAATAGAAACCTAGTGCCAGTGGTCTCTGATTGAACGCACCCACAGTCCTCAAGAAGATTGAGTTGGTTGAATAGTAGTATTCTCCCTGAATTCATTAGCAAGGACTGACTAGCCCTAGACCAAAAACTATGTTTTTATGTGAAGAAATTTGGCTACAATTATTCATGAAATTCATTAAAAGTAACTTGGAGAGATTTAAAGAAGCAGCCACGGGAGAAACCAAGATGGCGGCATAGATAAACACCGGAGATTGCTGCCTCGCACAACCACTTCAAAAATACAACTAAAAGATGGAACGGACATCACCCAGAACCACAGGAAGGCTGGCTGAGTGGAAATTCTACAACTAGAAGGAAAGAGAAAAGCATACCAAGACTCAGAGGAGGCGCAGTGCAGAAGTAAAATACTAAGGTGCGGAGGTGCATGCGGAGCGGGCTGGTGGCTGAGGGCGCGGTTGTCGTTTTTCAATCGGGAGGGAGTCTCAGGCTCTGAGCTCCAGTTCCGGGCGAGTCTCTGGGGACCCAGACTCAAACGGGAGAAGCGGGACTGTCTGGCATCAGTCGGAACTCGAGGGCAGCTTTCTCTCGGAGGTACTTGCAGCAATTGCTGGGACACTGAGAAGCAGAGCCTCTGAAGGCAGGACTGAGAGCAGCCATAACTGCTCGCTCTGCCCACCCTGTTGATCCCCTGGGACTCGCCCCGCCCAAGCCTTGCACGAAGGCATTTGCTGGATAGCCTCAGGCAGAGGCTAGATTAGCACCTCCCTAGAGATCAGGACAGAAGTTCTCCCACTGGAGACACAGCTGATTCTCACAGCCAATTGGCCTGGAGGTCAAATCCCCGCCCCCCCAGTGTTACCTACATCAATCAAGGCTTAACTACAACAAGACTGTGCACAAAGACCACAAGGGGGTGCACCAAGAAAGCATAAAAAAAATGCAGAGACAAAGAAACAGGACACAAATGACAGAAATGGAGGAAAGAAAACTGCTGGATATAGAGTTCAAAACCACACTTTTTAGGTTTTTCAAGAATTTTCTAGAAACCGCCGATAAATGTAGTGAGATCCTCAAGAAATCTA